AAATACCAGCCTTTCCTTCCGCAAGTACCGTGCTGCAGCTTCCGGCTCGCGGTGCCAGTAGAGGGAGCGGCAACACAGCAAGAATATTAAGATTAGAAATCCGGGAGTAAGGGAGCAGGGATGCTTTCTGCAGCTAAAACGGAAAGGGTCAGAAACCCAAAGCTGCAATGCAAAAACTAATGTGCTAATAGCCACGCTGCTTATTTCAACAGCAGCTCAGGCAGACTTTAGAAAAGCCACAAATGAGACCTCTGAATGCAACTTTGACTAAGGCCACATCCTTGAGCTTTGGCTTTTAAGCTTTTAGAAAATAGATCTCACAAACAACTGCATGTCTCTGATTAATTATACGCAAGACCCTCAGATTGCTGCTGCAGCAAATGCCCCTGGAATTGTTAAATCAAGCACTGAATGATAACAATACTTTTTAACATGCTACAAAAGGTATGAAATTAGCTGTCTGCCTCAGGAAAATAACCCTGAGAAATTAAGGTTACTGTTAGTCTCAGCTTGTTCTGAAAACCAAATTACTTAGCCTAAGGGGACCTGTGACAGGACGAGGATGGAATGTAAAATAGTGTCCATTCTCATAGTGCAATGAAAGTTTGTTTCAGTTTTATACCACGGTCTTTGGAATGTGTGCTAACTTCAGCCTCTGGTTCTCCTGCTTTCTGAATGACAAAATAATAGGCTCCTTAAAAATACCTAGTTGCTTCATTTCTGTAAGATTAATATATATATTCAAACAGGTGTATGCTTTCTTTTTTATCATTTATACATTCTGCATGGTGATTTATATGGCTCACAGTTATCCTTGCAGAGTTATCCCTCATGCTAGAGGTCTCCAAAATACCAGAGCATACAAAGCCTAAACCTCAGAAACTCTACTGCAGAGTAAAAAAAGGTAGTGAATGGTGGGGAGACCACAAACAAATATGGATGCTGCTCCCATTCCCAAATCTCCTTCTAGTAACAAAATAGCTTTGTTATGATTCCGGGGAGATGCAACCCTGTGTTTCCAGCTTTCAGCCTCTCATTCCCTGGCTTAAGTGGAGCAGAATGGGGAGACAAAACACTCCTCATGGGGAGAGGAGACAGCTCTCTCTGATACTTTTAGGCAATCAGGAAAACATGCTGTGGGGCTCCAGACAGAATGAGAGCTAGTCCTCCTCAACCAGATTTATGCAGGCTGCATTAACAGGAGAGAAGACTGAAAGCCAGGAAAAACAATAACAGATGAAAGGAACGAAACTCGTGGCTCTGCAAACCTGATGCAGTGTGAATTCCTAGGGGAAAGTATACATCATACTCAAGATGATATTTTTTCACATCAATTAGAGATATAAAATCCAAGGTCATTTCCAGAATAACCTTTTAAATAAACACAATGAAGTAACCGGTGGCCCAGAGCTGAATTGCAGCTTTAGCCCCAACCTCAGTATATACAAGGTAGTTCCAAATAATGAAACAGCTGTAAGAAACATTGTATTTAACAGGAGCACTAGCAGTCACTTCTGGGAGGTCGACTCCCCGAAACAGCCCTGCTTTGCTCGTGGAAGACCTCCAACTGAGCAATAAGGCATTAGGAAAGCTTCCTATCAAAAAAAAAAAAAAAAAAAAAAAAAGTAACAGCATCTTTCTGTTGAAAACAAACATGATTTGCTTCACACAAAAAATCTACCCTTTGCTGCCTTTATAGCTGATGAAGAATTGCTAGTGAAGAAGACAATGATAGGACACCAGCACGGCTGGTCAACCAGACCCTGAATTTCTGCAGAATGGATGTGCCTACAGGTGATTTATACCTGCTGACATTCTGACCCTGCAATGTTTCACCCCCCCTGCTGAAACAGGGGCTACGCTACTTCAGGACCAAAGAAAAAATCTGCATTCTATAAATAAAGCGTGTAACAGAAATCACTGAGCTGATTTGCCCAGCCAGCCAAACTGCCAGTAATCAACAAGGACACAAATAAATGGGTCAGTGGGTATTTCACACTCGACTGCTCTCTACAAGAAGCTGCAGAGTCGAGACCAAAAATCTAAGATACAGCCACAATTTCCCGAATAAAAGCACATACCCCTTTTTAAATTTTTTTCGTGGACCCCATTTTAAGTAATGAATCCCTGAAAAAGCACAGGGCCAGAACAAGAGAGGCTTCAGTAAAACAGTGTGTTCTACAAACACCTGAATAGAGAGAAATACATGGGGAAGATCAAAACACCTTGCCTCCCAACCGCACACTTGGGTGCAGATCCTTGATTTCACTCCCACCTCAGGCTAAGTCATCCCAAATTAGAGCATCAGCATTGTTTAGCTTTAAACACCTTCTTCACATCGTTCTTCAGAGGCATATTTCATATGGCAACCACAGGCACTTTCAGAAGCTGCCAGACACCTGCACATCTGATGAACTACTGTGTTGCTTCTGTTGGTTAAAGAAGCGTTCCTCCCCCTTTGAGGAGGAATGAAGGCAATTCCCACCACAAAGTTTGCTGCATTTTGAAGGAAGGTAAATGTCAAGAGAGCTCTAGCTTCTGTGCTGCTTGAAAGAAAGGGCAAAGGAGCTGACTACAGAATACCAAAAGTGAAGGGCAGCTGTACTGAGAGAAATCTGAAGGGAAAAGGAAGCCCTAAAGCTTACCCCAGGTCCTGGGGAGCTATTTAAGCAGCAAGCACTTTGGCTCACCAGACAGTCACATGCTCACTGCAGGACATGGAAAAACAAGCAGCCGTTCCACATCGCTGCGATAACCACAAAAACAGGATAGACACCACTCAAGTTGGGAGCAGCACAAAGGAAGTCATGTCTACAAAGCAGCGGAGGCAGGAGGTCTGATTTTGCCGTGACGTGTCCATCAGCCACATCCTATGTCTTCATTTCACATGGGGCATGCAGGGTTATTACCGGATTATACTAAAAGACAAATGTTAGGTTCTTCAGACACATTTGACAAATGATGCACTATCTCACCCTTCAGCAAGGAAAAGGACCCCTCGAAGACCCTCAAAATAATGATGCAAAGAACAGTGCTTGTTGAGACCAACTGTTGAGACCCTGTACAACATGTGACGTCTCTGGCTCAGAAATCACTGAATACAAAAATTCCCAGTTCCCAATTCTTTGCACCCAGGGCAGACACTCACTTCAGTCAAAAGTTGGAGTAAGAGGATTCAGCACTTGGGGTATCAGTGTAACAGCACAGACAAGGACAAAAGGATGAGGCCCACGAAGAGCTGGTGTTAAGTAGGAAATGGGGGCATCTTGTGGCCAACTCTAAAAACGTACAAGATGATCTCCATTTTTCAGCACAAAAGCCTAACTGGGAAAAGTTGAATTAAAATTAAAAGGGGAAAATGTCCTTCTGAAAATCTTTAACGGCCTTTGAGGGTTTATCCCATATCTTACATGAGGTTGCTTTTATCAGTCCCTTCAGAGGTATTTGCAATAAGCTGTTTCTAAGCTTTCCTGTTCACACTATTCCACTTGCTATGAATATCACGCTCCCCAAAGTCAGACTAGGGGTCCAGCTTCCCCTTTCCCCACTACGTGTTCCCATCACTTGAACAATGACATTTTTGCTAGACCACTCTTAGTATTTTAAGCAAAACCAGAGCAGCATCCAGAAATGTGGAAAGGCAGACTGCACCTCCGTGACCCTTTGCAGGCAGAGATGAGTCAGCTGGGTCCGGAGCCCAAGCAAACTATTTTTCACTGTGGCTCATTTGCTCCAGCTCAGCATCATGCTAATGCACTCACACTGCTCCTGGGTCAACTCCAGTTTGCACCCAGACTCCTTCCAGAAGGCCCTACACTGAGTGATTGCAGCGATTAGACAGACATGTCCTGGGATAAGGCTGACTTTAACCCCAGTGAAGGGCTTTAACAGCTCCCCTTACACTTCGGCTTTTTATTCCAAATGCCTGAAACAAAATTGTTTCATTGTTGTCAAAACAATTATTTTGACATTTCTGAAACCTTTACTTTGGGGAGAAAACAAAAATATTTTGAAATATTCAGGCACCATTTACTTTAGACTGGAAGTCGAAATTTCCCTCAGCTCAGAATAGTTTTGATTATCTAGAAACTACTTCTGTTTGGCCATTCCATTCATTTATCCTGGATTTTAAATGATTCAAAAAAACTAAAGCAAGCAGATACGTCCAGTATTCTCTTCTGTTTTCGAGTACAGGAGCCATTTAGAAGCCGAGAAGTTAAGGCTTGACTAAGCAGGCAAGTAAGAGGAGTGGGAGTTTTCCTGCTATCCCAGTGCAATGTCCAACCCCCTTGTCTTACAGAGGTAATGGCTAGCAACTGCCAAGGAGGTGGTCCTGCTCTTCTGCAGTCATTTCTCTTAACCTAGCACCAGTGCTTGCCCTCAGCCAGTTCAGGAAGCTAAACTAGTGGCAAACAATTCCCATTCGTTAGGGATTGATTTTCTGACAGTTCAGTTCTCTGAACAGGGCAGCACAGTGGGCAGGAATTTACCGCAGCGTGCTGTGGGACCAGTTAGATACCTTTGGCTCTAATGTCAATCCCTACCTTTAGGTGTTTTGAACTGTCCTTGTGAGTTATTTATGCATGTCAGCAAACACACAGGGCTCCTCTGCTCCTGCCTAATCCCAGAGAGGGCATTTTTTTCCTTCCCTGTCATACATACATCCTGTGGGCAAACCCAGAGGTAAAGGCACCTCCTGAGCAGCCCAGAAGCGAGCTATCAGTTCTGCCACTTGCTGGAGGCACAGCTAGATGATGTGACGTGCATTTGGCGATGACACACGTTTCACAGCCTAACCGTGTACACAGCCATTCCTTCACTGCTACCGCAGATTATACCTTACAGCTTCCAGAGCTCCCATGTATTACCTGTCCAGAACATTCAGACTGTAATTCCTCTCACTTCCACTGTCGAAGTTACATGCAGGGATCAATGGGATTACACCAGCACATTGTAAGCATGAATCCTCCTCCTGGTAATTTCTACTTTGAACCCAATACCTTGGTTGCTCCCAGCAAATGTCAGTGCGCTGTCACTCAAGTCAGATGGATTTTCCAAGCGACGCGGTGGTGGCTGCATTAGTTTCTGCCCTTCCTCTATCTCAGGATAGGTGCGCACGGTAAGAAACAGCGAAGGCTGAACAAGGGCATCTTTCAGCAAAGCTGAGTCCAGATCCTCAGCAGCTTTCTTGTTAATCTCCACAATTTCATCACCAGCTTTCAGGCCTGCAACACAGAAAGGAACAGGTAAGACTTGCACAGTAACGTTTCTGTTACCCACAGGCATCAAGGAGCTTGGCCGGGTGTTTATGAAGTGCCAGCAGTGCTATGTCTAGACATAAAGTAAACATTTAGGACTGCAAATTATATTGAAATTTGATGGCCTTTTGCGAGATCTATTGTCAGGCTGGTACTCCAGTACTATCCCTAAGAGCACGGTGCCCAGGAAGTCCCTCACAACGTACCAGCAACAAGACATCCCCTTTTTCGTCACGTCACTCTGCAAGGAAACAGCTGCTGCACAGCAAGGCACCCTACACAACGCATTGCTCGTAAATAAATCTATACGGAAGGACAGAGTCAGACTTGTGAGGCGCTGCACACAGGATGGGGGAAGGATGGAGTAGCTGGGCTGGCTTGATTCTTGCTTTTAGCTTTCCATATAAGTGAAGACTTTTATTTGAAGTGGTCACCTACCCATACACCTAGGAGGAGAGAAAACATTTCCGACTCAGCCAGGGCGTACGGTGTAGGACTTCAGAACAGCCTCCTCTCTGGCCCTGTCTCAATCATGTCCTAGTACACAGATCTTCAAAAGGCAAATTTTAGTGCTTGGTTAAGTTAGTCATGGGTTTTTTTCCAATCTGATTTCAGGAGCTATTTATAGCACCAGCACCCAAGGGAACAGGAGATCTGCAGAGAAAACAGCTGACTCCTGCTCGCTTCAGGGGTGACACGGCGATGCTGACAGATCACGTGCAGCCCTATGAGGTGCTGCAGGAAACCTGACCTTCCCCTTAACCAGCGGGGCCTGCTCTCCAACTAACAACAGCAAGCTGGACCAGGGTTTAATCCCAAATAATCTTTAGGGTCAGGCAGGCAGCAGTGTGCCAGGGCACACCGGTGCTGACAGCCTTGATCGTTGGAGCTGCTGCTGCCACTGCAGCTTCTGTCTCTGCTTGAGGGTGATGCTGGCAGTCCCCGCAGACATCCCCCCAGGAGCCAGCCCACCAGGCACAGTCGGTGGGAAAGCTTACTCTGCAACAGCCACTGGCCTGCCAACGGGACTGCTGCAGCACCTCGGTCACCGTCCTGGCATTTACAGGAATGAAAGGTGGAATTTACAGGGTTGGAAGAACTGCTCTGTGGGGGTGATCTGCCCTTGTGCCATGCCATCCTCTGGCTGGGCAACCATGCAGAGGATGAGTCTTTCCACCCCTTAAGCCTGGATGAAAGGCCTGACTCAATGAGCCTGAGCTGCAAGCTGAGCTTAGCTGCATCCAGGCATTGCAGCCTTACTTAAAGAGGCTTACAGGAAAGCTGGAGAGGGACTTTTTACAAGGGCATGTAGTGATAGGACAAGGGGCAATGGCTTTAAACTGAAAGAGGGGAGATTTAGATTAGATATAAGGAAGAAATTTTTCACTCTGAGGGTGGTGAGGCACAGGAACAGGTTGCCCAGAGAAGTTGTGGATGTCCCATCCCTGGAAGTGTTCAAGGCCAGGTTGGATGAGGCTTGGAGCAACCTGGCGTAGTGGAGGGTGTTCCTGCCCATGGCAGGGGGGTTGGAACTAGATGACCTTTGAGGTCCCTTCCAACCCAAACCATTCTATGATTCTATGATCCTCCAGCAAACAGATTACCTACCCACATTCAAGAAAGATACATGGAAGGATGGGGCTAAAGAGCTTCAGTCTTCTTTAGGAAAATTGAGATCTTTCTAAATGCATGTAATTGTGCCCAGAAACTGTAGTATGGCATGCAGTTTCGGAGAGAATAAAATGAACTAGATAGAATAGCTACAAAGTAAATGGACCAGAAAATCATATTTGAAACAAGGACAAAACAAAGCAAGTCAAGCATTTCACATTATTTCATTTATTCTACTTAGTGATGCCATGTCATAATGGTAGCACATTAATATGCCTGCAACCATAAACATCTTATCTGGGGCTTCATTTACTGCTTGTAATCCTTGTTTTGAATCATTTAGGATAAAGCATCATGCCTATCTCAGCAGAATCACGCACCTCAAATTCCAACAATGGTCTAGCTAATGCAGATCAACAGAAAAACCAAAAAGATAAATCATAAAAAGTATTAGGGGAAAATAAAACTTAAATTTTCTAATTGGAGAAAAGATTTAAAATGAAATACTCTATCTCTTCTGGTTAGACTTACTATAGGAAGTGCAGTCAAAGGCAAACATGAATGTAAATAATGGGAGGAAGAGAGAGTTTTCCTCCCCGCTTTCTGCGAACTACGAGTATCTTGTCACAATATCCTGCCACATACTGTTCATACAGAAGTGGCTTTTTTATCAATTATGAAGAGCAACATACTATTGAAAGCATGTTGTAGCATTTCAGCCCCACAGGAGGCAGTCTGTGTTCATGCATTCATTTAAATTGTTGTTCAAACATTTTCTAAAAGCAAAATAAGGAAGCCCTGCTGCAAACCCCTCACCCTTGTGTTCTCTTTGCTCCCTGCAGCAAGCCCACAGGGTTTTATTTCCCTGTGACAGGCTGGCAGAGAGCTGTGGCCCAGGCCCGACTCAGGGCTTTTGGCAGAACACCCACATGGTCACCCAGGGAATCATATGGGGCTGAGGTGAGGGGAGAAGGAACAGGAAAGAGAAAGATGGCCTTCTCAAGCTCAATAAACACATGCAGCAGCCTCCAGAACCACCTATGTGGTTTTCCTAAGTCAGGGTTAGAGGCTACAGATGAGTGAAACTCCAGGCTCCCAGCAGCCAAAACTGCTCCCCATCCCCTGCTTCTTCTTTCCCAGTTTCTGTCTGTGCGGTCCTGCCCCTCCACTGTGCCACTTCCACCGTGCGCTTCACTGCAACACAAGCTGACTCCCTGGGCTGGAAAAGCGGCCATGCATTTCTGCCATGGACGTTTTCTATCAAGACGGTGAGCTGCATCGGCTCAGCAGGGTGCCAGAGTCAGCACAAAGCAAAGGGATGGAGAGGTTTGAGGGACATCAACCCCTGTTGCTTTCAGCAACAGCTGGCTGTTGAATAAGCTCTGCAAGACCACATAACCAGTCGCCAAGAAAACTCTGAAGGTGTTTTTCCGGACTCTGCATACACTGATGGGTTACGAAGAGATGAGAGGCTTCTCAGTCTTCATGCTCCCCATGTTATGCTTTAAAATCTGTTTAGGTTTCAGCTGCCCATGTCCTTGACCAGCCCATCCTGTGACTGCAAGAGCAGCAGTGCCAGCACATTCAAAAGGGCAATGAATGGGAAAAGCACTAAAGACATGGCAGCGTCGGGATTGACCTCAGCTTGGGTAGGCTGCAGTTAAACCATATCCTACTCTGCCCTGGGACTAGCCCAGCATCCTAGTTATCTCTGCCAGTTTCTGGTCCAAGTGCTGTCATACTTCCTGCAAAGGCTAGAAGCAAAACTAGAGGCAGTAATCCCAGCTACGGAGAGCACTATGTTGACTTCTACTGTACCCATTTATCTTACAGTGACTGACTTGAGAGGGCCTCTGCTCCTCTTTCTTGCTGCAAGGGACATGCTGACCCTGCTACACGTATAGCAACTCAAAAGTTTTTGAAAGAGGTTGACTATATAGCACAGCTGATCCCAAAAGCAGAACAGACATGCATTCAGTACCTCAGGTTCTTCCCAAAAGACCATGATGTCTTTTGGACTGGGACTCTGATTTGATATGTCTGTAAAGCTCCCATCCCAACAAGCTCACGGTCTATATCGCGATTAAACAAACAATAACAAAAGCACTTTTAAAAGAAGTCTTTTACCTTTCTTGAAGGCTAGGCCTGTCTCTTTGACACCGTTCACATATAGCCGACGAATCCCTTCTTCTTCCACGGAGGACAGAGAGAAACCTAGGTAGATACCCACTGAGACAGTTAGTAAAGCCAACCACTTCCAGCATGTCCTAACAACTGCACACACTGCAGGTAAGGCTGTGCTGTCCCTGCAGTGAGTAGTCAGGAATTTCTCCCTTCTCTTTTCCCATAAACCTTTACAAATGGAAAGGGAAAGTTAAAAAATGAAAGTGGCTTTAACAAAAACCTGAACTGAATTTCTGAGTTGATACATAAATCATCTACAGCTTTATTTAAGGATACCACAGCTGCAAAATATTGGAACAGACTTCCAGTTCTCTTGCCACAAAAGGTCACTTCAAGAAGTTTTGGTGTTTGCAGACAAAAGCAGCGCAGAGATGTGGTTTGTGACGCAAACCGACAAAAGCCCGGAAATGGAGAGCTATGGCTGACATGACATCTTGAACTCAGACAAGGCACACCAGTGCCTGCTAAAGCAGAATGCCAACTTTTACTTTTCAAAAGTCCTAGACTGGGTATATTTGTAAAAATGCTGCTTCCTCTTCTCCCCCTTTCTATTCTCAGCTGCTCCTGGCATGACTGTTATCTGCTAAGTCTCAGCTCAGTGCACATTTTATGGCTACATCAGAGACCCATAGGCCAGCCTTATAATGGAAGTACTGACACTGGCTTAATTTAAACAGTGCAAATGGTACTGTTACTTTTGGTTTTGGTGATTTTCCTGCCATTTGTGTTTGACACCATGTAAGACAACAATGTGTAAAGGAAATACAATGTCATTAGTTAAATAGCGTTTATTTATTTACTGTTGAGAGTTATCTAAAGCAGAACATTTGCCTTTCTGAAACTTCATTACTCCCTAAATGGGCTTAGGCAACCATTTGCTCTCTCTTTCTCTGACTAGAAAAACATTTACAAACGTCTGAGGGGAGATGCTTGTTTGACATGGAATCAGTCACCAGCCAAGAGGAAGCAGATGTGCCGGGAGCCTATTCTGACTTTAGGACTCCCTTCAAGTTGGTGCTTATGGATAAGAAGTTATTTTTTTCATCCATCATTTAAAAAAAATAAAGGAGAGGGAAGAATGTGGCAGCCTAGAAGCGAGGAGCATATGGCCCTTTGTGACTCACTGAGCTACTTGGAATCTGCACATGAGCTCCTCAGTCTGAGTAAAATGAAATTTGTGAAGCTCACTCAACACACCAACTTTGGCAGAGAGAAAAAGCTTTGGACTAACCAAAAGAGCAGCTGTAAAAAAATAGTAGCTATTGGTTGACATCACTGCAAAGTCTACCTGGAAAACCCTTAACCAGAAGCACAGTGGAGCATGTCCAAGACTGCAGTTCGAGGCAGCACAAATTACCAGTTACTAATACCATCACTCTTTTGCAACTGAAATGCTGTTTTGCAGCCAACTACCATACACTTAAAATAAGGCTGAGCTGCATCTCAAGTTCTCACCATGGCTAACTGTGAAGAGATTAGCACGTTCAAGCAATCTCAAGCTCCCATTCTCCTCCATTAGAAGACCTCTGCCTCCTCCAATCTGTCAGGGCTAAGGGAAGGTGTAGTTGCTTTTTAATTCAGTTATCATTAAAAAAAAAAATCCAGAGCGGAACAGGTATAAAGAGCAATTACGTGGGTTGTCATCACCTTCAAGAGACAGGCAATTGGCAACAGCCTTGAAATGGTCATCTCACAAAAGCACTTAACCCCTCTGCAGACAGGGTACGTGACCATACCTCAGGTGCAGATAAACCATTTCATTTCCACAGTAGTGATGTGGCTGGATCAATCTGAAGCAGCATTCCTGTCCCACTGCAGTGCTGGTGCCAGTGCTTTCACTGTCATGCAGTAAAGCAGAGCAGAGAACTCATCCAGATGGGAGATACCTCAGTCAAGTGTGTGAGTGCGTGTGTGTGTGTGTAGATATATGTATATACACACTTGCATATATGCATACATGTGTAAACATGTATGCCATGGGGTAATGATTTTAAACTAAAAGAAGGTAGGTTTAGACTAGATGGAAGGAAGAAATTTTTTATGATGAGGGTGGTGAAACACAGGAACAGGTTGCCCAGAGAGGTGGTAGATGCCCCATCCCTGGAAACATTCAAGGCCCGGCTAGACAGGGCTCTGAGCAACCTGATCTAGTTGAAGATGTCCCTGCTCACTGCAGGGGGGCTGGACTAGATGACCTTTAAAGGTCCCTTCCAACCCAAACCATTCTATGATTCTATCATTCTATGCATGTATAGTTTGTATATACACATATACAGTATGAATGTACAGTTTCCATCTGGCTGAATTCTGCAGGTGCTCCACACAAACACGTGTACTAGCATTGCATGAGAGGAAGGGCAGGAGTGGGTGGAAGAGACAGCAATTGCATAAGCTGGCATCACTGCCAAAAAGATTATTATCAAATTGTGCATGGACTCTGAAACACAGGTGTGAACAGATGGGTGGTGACCCAGACAGAGCCTTTTCTTCACTGCAAAGTTTTGATGACAGGAGGACAAAAGTCTACATCTATGAGTGCACATGGCCTCACCAAACCAGCACAATACCTGAACAAATCCGCCTCCAGAAAATTACCTCTGCCCCTTGAGATAGACAGTTGCTAACAAAAAAGCAGTATGTTCCTGCACACATACAGAAGCTGGAAGCAATAGGTTCTTACTGCTGGTGCACCCTGATTCCTGCCCACGCAACCTTTGCAATGAGGCTGGTACCAGTGAAAGAGGCAAGAACGTATGTGCCCAGGCATCAGCAACAGTATCACATTGACAGATCTAACGCTGGCAAGCTCCAACATACTGGCCAGACACTCCAGGAGCTCCTCTTACCACAGGCACGTTGGTGGGCATAGAAACACTACTAAATGTTCCCAGGTGAGCTTTCCCTGAAACACTGCTCCGTCTTCTTCACATCACTTGAACACATGGTGTGCTCAGATATGATGGCAAAGCTGCTCCAAAGGCCTGCTAACACCTGAAGGGGCAGCTCTGCCCTCTTCCCAGCACCAGGATCTCTTAGCTGGCCCAAAACTTCTTGCAAAGCCTGCAGACAGCTATTCACTTCTTTTGTTATCTTACCGTTCTGCCAGGCTAGTGAGCTGAACTGGCCTGTCTAATTGCACCCTTAGTGAAAGCGTTTCACCTCCCTATCTCTGATACCATGTCTGTTAAATGAAGATAACAGCACTAAGTCTACATTGTCAGGATTAGTGAATAGCTGCTTGTGAAATATCTTAAAAATTCAAGGTGATTTACAAGTATTATTATTGCTATAGCTGGAATACTAGCAACAGCAACAGGTAATGTCACTAATGATTTTCATAATCTCATCCATTTTCAAAATAAAGACTTCCAGTTCTTCTGAAGGAATCAAGACACAGGGAATTTGGATATATGCTTTTAAAATGGGCAAACAGTATGAGGGTTGAATAAAGCTGCCCAGAAAAAACAAGTAATCAGCAGAATAAAAAGACTCTTAGCGCTCTAGACATTTGGTTTCAGGACTGGCTCCTGACCCTGTTCCCAGCACGTGTCGAAATGCCTGTGGAGGGCTGAGCCTCCAGTGCTCCCCAGTTGACTGAGAACCAATCTCAAAGGCAGCCCCACTCACACCAAGACTTAGGCAGGTGCTTAGATGCTTAGAGTGTGTGGTCACGTTACTGATTTAGGTTTTTATCAAAACAAAACCAGTAGCAAGAACCCTTAATCAACCCTGTTAAAAAGATTCTACGCCAAAATTTTAAAGCTCTGATCTTCGTTCGTGTTGCCATAGCTTGTGAATGTGCTGTAGCTTTCTCTCTGGATTGTGAAAGTATGTATTGGCAACGCTAATTCTGGAAAGAGACCAAAAACCCTAAAAACTCAAATGTACCTAACACACAGGATGGGAAAGGATCTCAGGAGGAAACTCAGCCTTCCTCAAAAATGGATCAACACTTCACTTCTGCACCCCCACACGCATGTGTTTCAGTACATGCTTGTCGCTGCGTGAACACATAGTACTGTTTCTGTGAGACACACACAGACTACAGAAATTCTGCTGCCATTTAGACTCAAGGTAGGTTTTGCCATTTTCTTTCAATGAGAACAAAGTCAGCTTTTTTGGGGTGCATTTAGCATTCACTCCCTGCAGGGCTGGAGCCACTGAACAGATACATCCCATGTCTCACACAGCTGATCTCATTTCACAGGACATGACAGTGCATTTCACGGTCTTTCCCAGCTATCACTTAAAAAAAGAGAAGAAAAAGAAAGAAATAGAAAATGCCACGATATCCCTAACTCCTGCAGTGCTTTCAGGCATGGCATAATTATTGAACCTAGGGCCATCGCCGTGCTGGTTAATATTACTCTCTTAGGCCTTCAATATTCAAATCGCAGTCAGCACCACTGCTTTGTAGCAGAGCTCAATATTCAAATGGCCTGCGGCTGTATAGTAAGCAGTTTGGGGATTCAGAATTATTCTAGTCATTAAAACAGAATATTTAGATAAACAGTAAAAAGATGCAGACTGGCTTCCCGCAGGGCAGGTTGCACAAATAACTTTAAAATACACTACAGAATTGTAATTGCCAGACCAAAGGGCAAACTCACCAGGCTGGAGGTTTGTAACTTGAAATACTTTGAAGTTAAGAAATACAACCACCCCATTGTAAAGATTGGGGATTTTGCTGAGATTGTACAGGGTGGACTTCCTCTGGTTTATATTTTATGTACATATGTGTATCACGTGTCAGCTTCTGGCTCTTGGAGTCCACAGGGCATCCTCGGGGGCCAGGCGTGCACCAGGACCAGGCTCCCCCAGCCTCGGGAATAGCGGTGCAAGGCAGGGACCCACCTTGTGTGCCAGGCCAAGCAGTTTCTCCTGGGAGAGCTGCCCAGCTGCAGGCCTTGAGATGCTTCGTATCCACAGCAATGCTCCTGGCACTATCCCTGCCATCGTGCTTGGTAGATGGGATGAGGAGGGGGAGAATCTGCTAGTAGCAGCAAGCTATGGTGGTAGCCCTCTCCCAAGCCCCACTGCATGGCCCCTGTGAACACCGTGATGCAGGCATTCATGTCAGATGTGACAACTGGCAAAGGATGCTGTTTTCCGCCAACGCTCAGTTGCACAACCTCCGTAGGTGGTGTTTCGAGAAACTACAAGAACAAGAAAACATTTGTCCTTTCTGCCACTGTAGTTCTCATCAAAGACCTGCACATCCTACAGCTCGAGCACCAAGAAAGACAGCATTCAGTGCACCACAAATAAAACTGTCCAGCTTCAGGGCAGGGGAGTGAGCTTTCTGTGGACGGCACAGGAATCAGATGTGCTTTTATTATTGTGTTCAACAGGCCTGTCAGCTATATCAATGAATAGCAAGCAAGAACTTGCATGCACTAGAATTGACTTGGTAGAAAAGTAAAAACAAATCAAGGAGATACTCACCATAAATATCAGAGGATGCATCAGACTTCTCTATTTGAATGTGCTGTGTAATTTTCTGACAGATTTCTATTTCTTTGTACAGCTGAATAGAAAAAAAAACAAACACAAAAATACGTTACTGTGGTAGGACACATCAACTGTGATCATTCTGAACAGATGATTTATTTATTTTTTTAATTACAGGAAGAAGAAATGGACTGTGGTCATTATTTATCAAACAATTTTTCTCTGTGTGCGTGAGATGTATTTGTAGTGTCACTAAGCTTTACTGCTAGGAACAGTCAAAGAGAAGGCAACAGTGTTTTACTACCACCATCACAAAAGCAAGGCGACTTCTATTTCACTCGGTCAATACCATTTTGAGTGCACAAGAAACACAGCTTCTATTCCTGTTTTCGTATTTTATTGGTAGTCATCATTTAACGTTTTTAAATTGTTTTGATTAAGACATTGCAGGAATTCTATCATTCGACAGCACTAAAATCACAAGGAAGGATTTCGTTAGCAGATTTCTTAGCACGAATAACACGTTTATGTTTATTTGTACCAAGAAAAGCCCCCAACTCTTTGAAATGGTCGTTAACATCCTTCCTGGGACGTTAATTCATCCCAGCGCAAATTCACACCTAGGTAATAACCCAGAAGCCTACGCACACAGGTGCAATTCACTCTGCCTTTCAGGAGCCAAGCAACCCCTCAGCAGGGCTACACCTCTCCACCACTGCTCACACATTTTCTGCTTTTAAATCACTTACATCCTCCAGTTTTGGGTGGCTCGCTGTTGTCGCCGGCTCCTGCCCCAAGCTCTGAATAAAAGAGCTTGTACTGGGGCCTGTCACCCCACCTGAGGCAGAGAAACTCTGCTTTTCCAGACAAAGTCAGGTATTTAGAGGCTCTGAGCTGGCATCTTTGGGAGTCAGCCCTGTCTTACTCCTTGTAAGGCAGCCTTGACGTACTGGAAACCTCTGGCTCAGCACAGGTTTGAAGCTGGTTTGTCCACAGCACAGGCCAGCACTTAAATAACAAACCATCCTTTCGTCTTTGGAAAAAATCATACCCACAGGTGAATGAGAGCCCACAGGTAAACACTAATCTCGTTTACGTGCCGATACGAGTGTGTAAAAAAGCACTTGACAATAATTAACACTTTGAAACTAAATAACATCAGTGTTTGGACTGAAGTATTCAAACTATTTCTTAAAAAAAGAAGAGTAACTCATTAGTAAAGGGCTTCCTTAATAAAAATATGATTTTATCTCTTGCTTACATCAGCACTTACATAGCTACCTAACTGCAAATATTAGGTATTACAAAACAGTTATATACCCATTTAAATGGTTGTATATAGTAAAATAAAATGTAAAATTAAATGAGGATGCCATGCTAGCAATATTTTTAAAATGCAGTTTTCAAACATAGGACTGTATTGTTCAGAACCTGAAAAAGAGTCAAACAACTTTTACAAAAATCTCAGCTAGATTTCAGCACAGGTTTTAAAAAGTGGAGAAACCAAAATAGGAGCGAAAATAGCAGTATTTTCAGAACAAAACTTGTGTCTGCTCCCTGCAGTCATCTAAACTGAGTGTGCAGGACCAGAACCAGGGAGGCCGGCTGACAAGCTTTCCCAGGGATACAGGAGCCACTTGCTGCCTGCATCCCAAAGTGCTGTTTTCAAGCAAGAACCAAGAATGGGAGGCAAATAACTGGGATGCACAGACTGCAGCTGAGCTGCCCAAACCAGAGAGCTGGTTCGACAGCAGCCCTGAGGCGCTGCGTGCATTTCCGTGCCCCATGGACCCACTGTCCCGACACCAAAGGCAGGCAGCACATTTGGGCTATGGTGGCTCACTCCATGAAGCTGCCGGCCTTGTGAGCACCACGGGCTTGTGGGGGAAACCTCCTCCAGACCTAGCACAGAGGCCAGGGCTCTGCACAGAGAGGTTTGATAGCAATACCGGGAGCATCCCAGGGGGTTTGCCAGGCACCAAGGAGTGCCCGAGGACAGGATTTCTTCCTGACAGCAGCAGCACTGCCCCTTTGAGCTGCTCCAATCCCTCATAGTGTTTCTCATAGCAGTTTTGGGATATTATTACTATTATTGCTGTTGTTTTTCCTCAAGACTTGTTCTTCCTTGCCCTTTTTTCCCCTACGTTTTTTGGTCTTGTCCCAGCACTGCTTCGCAGGGATACCTTTTCCAGCAGCCCCAATGCCTTCACTGCAGCCTCATCCTACCTGCGAGATTTTCAGGGAGGCCTCTGGTCTCCTGCTTTCATCTAAAAGTGCCGTCTTACCCAAAGTAAAAAGTCTGGCATGTCAAGCTTCAGCCAAAACACTCCAACACTTTGTTTACAATAAAAGGTGCTTAAAAATACAACTGCCTGGTTCAGTACCTAATGCTAAATACTATCCCCTGAAACCTCAGTAACATTTTTAACACATAATAAACCGGGCTTATTAATTTTTGAAATACTATATCAGAGCACAAAGCATCACCATTCATGTTTTGGAGAGGAATGGAATACAGATATTTAATCTCCCTTTCTTATTTAAATACATCTGATATGTTATGCAAGAAAAAGGAGTATCATCCCAAGAAATTATGTTTACCTTTTCTGCAGCAATGTATGCATATAGAAGTATTTTAGTAGATGGAAGATACCTCTAGCAAGGTCACATCAACATTACACAACACTATAAACAGCTATTCAGGAGACTACAAAAATAGAGGCATTAGTTTTATCATACTGCACCAGAATCATTTAATTAAACACCTAAACAAAGTAACTCAAATTTCTCATGAAACAAGCACACACACACACAAGCAAACATACAAATGTGTGTTAATGTGTGTTACTACATTAGATACAGCCCTGCGGCACTTATCTATATTTTAATCTTTCAGCATGTACAAAGTCCCACTGACTGTAGCATTTTGATTTAATTTCAGGTTTTCAGAATACACAATAACTGATGACTATGTCAGTCCTGCATCCTCACAACATAAGGCAAGTCATCACAGTCCTGCCAGGCAATGAAAGCTAAAATCTGTCTCCTCTGAGTTTTAATTTTTCCCAACTATATTTCACTTCCCAGTCTTAGTACTCCACTAGCACTTTCTCACTCTTTTTTTTTTCTTGACAGTACTAGCAGCAAACCCCAGAACTTCTTTACTAAATGAACAAAAGCATCCATAACTGGCAAAGTTTTACTTTTTGCAAATAAAACAGCCAACAACGTAAAGGGCTTTAAAAAGCTTTACAGCCATGCATGTGTAAAATCATAGAGTTAAAGCATGACACTAATTCTGTTTGGTCTTTTTTTTAATGTCTCATTTCAAAATTCCTTTGAAGTGTGCTTCTGAGATGAATGATATGAAAACATCCAACTGAAGCAATTAGGAAAATATATTCTCACATAACTCTGGAGCTTTTTAACCTCAAGGTTTGCCTTCCTATTTAGGGAAAAAAAAACAACAAACAAAAAAAAACCAACTACTTGTGCATTTCCTCCTTCTTCAAAAATCAGACAAAGTGATGCAAACAAGAAATACTCAGGCCTCAAGACTATGTCTTTAAAACCACCAAGGACAATATGAACAACAGGAAAAGGCAACCTTGAGAGAAGTTAAGCTTAAATGTATGTTACAGTGACTTTCACATATTAGTGACTTTCACATATTACCTGTGGCTGTTCTTTCTTCCAGGCAGACACATGCACAAACATAAGCTAAACACCAACTCTTTCCTCAAGATGAAATGTCTGGAGAGATAACTTTACTGTAGGCCAATTTGCTATGGTCTGCAAAGCACTATAATTGCAAGTCAAAAAGCATAACTCTGCATATTACAAATGTCAGATAAACACTAATTAATAGTGTCCTACCAAGTGTCATTTAATTTTGCTCAGTAGGTAGCATTACCAGTTCATAGATATCCTCTTCTGGCTTTGGTACATAAAATCGAATCTGGTTTTCAATCAGGAATTTAAGACGCAGGTAGTGAGCAGAGTGATCCAGCTGATGTGTCTGCAAGAAAAAGAGAAGAGGCTTTAGAAGAGAAAAGCAACCGCTCTCATCAACTGTACCTAGAAAACAGCCTGACATTCACAGGGAGAAAAAGGTGAGGATGTCCCAGCACCATCTTTCACAAGAGGCTCACAATCTCCTAACCTGAACAAGAACCTGAACCTCCTCCTTTTCCCCAGGAATAAGTGTTCATTTAACCACCGACCCGGATGTCAAGGGCAGTGCTAGTACTCTAAGCAGCCTCTCCGGTTCTGCTTATCTGGCAATTTTGCTCCATCCCATGCTATTGCAGAAATAAGCAAACACTACTACAGCAGAAGACTCAGAGCATACTTTTGTATACAAAGGGCATTTAAAATCACAAGGAGGAAAATAAATGTTCTGCTAACAGAGGAAAATGTAACAGAAAAGTTGTTTCTGTTTGTTTTGGGTTTTTTAGCATCTTCATAATTTGGTGAGTAAGTATGATGTGGTAAATTTCAAGCAAGGTTAATATAAAAAAAAATCTGTATGTCCTCCAAATTCAAAACAGCTCTGGATACACTGTTTTTATGAGGCTAAAAGAAGCCAAGAGTTGGATTACATCCCAGTGGAAACAGGTCACATCATTTTAATGAATTAGTTATAATTAGCTGAGGATACGGCATTTGGTCTGGGAGATGTTAACGACCTTTTCTCAGCACGATTAATAAGCTTGATTTAAGCAGAGGTTAATGCAGTGTGTAATCAAAACACATTAGAATTATGATAAACACAAAGGATGTCATTCAGAAGTTACTTTCAATGTTCGTCAACTGTTGACTAAAGCTAATGAAAAACCCCAAAGTGATTCACAAATACAGGAGGTAAATTCTCCTGTCACTTTTGAAATCCTATTATTACATACTTTTATACACTGGCCTTTTCATTTAATCCAAGCAAATTGCCAAAGTTTCCTAGATTGTACTAAAAACAACGGCTCATCTGAAAGTTCATGCAAGAATGTCATCATTGCCTATTTATTATGTTTTTTAAAGCCTCGCTTATCCAGTTCAAGCCAAGACGGTGATACACCAGGACTCAGCTGACGGATCACACAGCACAGATGATGAGTAACGTACACCGAGTGACCCGTGGAAAAGATCACACACTGACCTAGCAAACCCTTCAGCAAATACTCAGAGAACAGTGAATGTTTTTGAAACTGTAGACTAGCACATGAATAAAAAAGAGCTACCAATCAGAAGGAAAAAAAAAAAAAGACAGATCTATTGTTGCACTCTATCTACGTAGCACTATGTTCAAATATGTCCAATTCAAAGACCAAATTATCTGTCTATGAAATTGAGTATCTGAAATAGGATAACCTCCATAATCTGGACAAATACCTAGTTAATTAAATAAGGAATGTGAAATCTATCAAAGGCCAAAGTAAAAAGAGCTGAATGTAGGAGATGCTTATCAAAAAAAAAAGAAAAAAAGAAAAAAAGGGGAGAAGGTAAGCATTTTGCATGCTTTTCTCATTGTTTACTGACTATTTTCACTAGTTTTCTCTCTTAAACACATACACATACCAACACCCCAGAAATTAATGGGAAGCAGAATTGGCTTTAATGGCTCAGAAATGATACGGAGGAGTCCTAGACTAGTTTCTGGTTAGATTAGTTTACTGTCTCTAGACACAAACTGAAGAGCGCCTTGCACACCAATTAAACAAAAACATATAAAGGAGACATAAACCCACAGACTGCACACCCCATGTCCGAAGGGAGAAGTCTGTGACAAATCTTTTTGAAAGTCCATGAAATACTGGGGCCATTTGCAGCAAAGTCAGCAGGGAGCAAATTCTATGGAAAAATCATACCAGCAGAAAAAGGAGCCAGGCACCCTGGCAGGCTCCTCCTGTCACCACGGTGTATCCTTCCCTTCCTTCCTGTGGTCTCCTGTGCCGAAGTTCTCGTATATGTGCTGCATTTGAGACAGTGTCAGGCCATGCTGCTCAGCCAGACCTATGCTGACAAGCTACATGTTATTGACCAAAGCCCAGCGTTGGGAGAGAGCCCTAGCCTGCAGCTGGGTATTTGTGTCACTTCCAACAGCGACTCCAAAGGTCCTTCTCTTGCAGAGGAGACCCAAAGAGATGCTTTCCAGCCTGCCCTAGACCAGCAGAAATCACAACCTGTTGAATTTTATCCATTCTGGGGTCTCCAGCCGTTGGGCGCAGGCCAGGAGCTGCCTTAGCTGCACTGGTGGTGCAGGGAGTCCATGCCCAGCCACTTCGGGCTCCCCGCAGGTCCAGGGGCACCCCACCACCCCCAATTCAGAGCCACCACCCACCCTGGGGCAGAGGCAGGGTTCGCTCACACCTGCCTGCAGCCTGTACCATGATAGCATCTTAAAAGAGCAACCTTCCCTGCAGGCTGCGGCTTGATCTGCCATCCCAGCAGTCAATGACAGGGCTTCTGCCTGCTTTGATATGGGCACTGCATCAAGCGTGGTGGTGGCAACCAACGCCGCCTCCATTTTCACACCCATCTTTGCAGGGAGAAAATCATGTGTGCTGGCCATTTTGGAGAGCAGGAGGGGATCAAATGCAAGATGAGCAATGCTGCACTGAAGCCCTCAATTATGCCAGAGCACAGCATTCTCTAAAGAGGTCACTGGATAAAACTCACATATTTTTTGAGCCACTCATTTCTTCCAAAAAGCACCATCAGCTGAGGTGGATGCCACTCATCCAGTACATCGCAATCTCATCCAAGACAGGCAACGAGAGTCATCCTTAAAGCTGTGATGGTGCAGCACATGAGCCACACCACTTAGACATTTGTATAGCTGCAGCAAGGCTTTGTCAACTCGAAATTTTACATCAGATAAACAGTTGCAATCAGCGGCATGATTTTCTACTGAAGTGAAAGAGAAAGGTCCTCTTAAAGTTGACATAGCAAGGCTGCCCTAAAAGCTATACCACTAACACACTTTTTTTGTTGCTGGTCTAGCTGCATCCACATGCAGGAAGGTGGGAGCAGAATCAGGACAGCTTTAATGATATTAATATCCTTTCGAGACCACCAAAAATACCTTTTTGTGGAGGAATTCCTTTCCGAGACTGGCCATAATATTCTCTGGGTTATGGACAATCCCTGTTTGGGCCCCAGA